CCAGGGGTTTACCCACCAGAGAAAGTACCAAAGCCTATACCCCTAAAAACCCGCAGACACAGGCAGTCCCAAGGAAGACCACCGGCAAGGATAAAAGGACAAATATCAAAACAGTTAAAGAAATACTGCTGCAAACAATGCAGGCAGGCTCCTTATCTAAAAATCTTATGGCAGCCATGCAAACACTAAGACTTAAACTAAGTGCCAGGCAGGAAGTTAATCACCATAACTAACAATCACGCTTAAGCTACATAACCTTTACTTAGGCCATAGAATAGGAAAATCTCCTTCAATTATTTCATTATAGCTTAACAGCAGAGCAGTAGAATAGTGACCTTGGAATAGAAATAACAAATTAGCCCTTATAATGGAGCACAGAGACTAACCTTTAGAATGGAATGTAGAAACATAGACAAAAGATGAGATTAAAATCAACAGAGCTAGATAGAGATAAGATTTTTACCAAAGGTCAGATAAGAAACTATAAACATAAAACAAGAAACTGTAAAAGGTCAAAGGACAACCCAAAACATACCATGATGTAACTATAGAGACATGCTTATAGAATCAAATAGTATAAATACAGCGGTAACAGGACAATAAATAAGAACCTGACTATGCTGATCATCTGGACGGTATCTCCATGTCCTTCATTCTTCGCCGACCCAGTACCTCTGGACCGCTGGGGCTGGACCCCACCACATTTTGTTTTACATTAGACACATGAGGTGAATTCTTTATTAAAGAAAATTTTTTGATTGTATGTTAAAAAACAAAAAAGCATGGGGTCCTGGGGACGAGGAGAATCTAAAGCCTTAGACTTAAGACCTTAGATCTTAGCTCCTTTAGCTAAGCTCGTCTGACCCCCAAATGCTTTTCAAAATTGTATTTCATCTCTGGACTCTTTATTAGTCTCTGGACTCCTCTTATTTAACATCTACGCACAGCCTTCTCCAGATCCCTGAACCGTTCTTGATGCTGGGACAAGAACCCCAGCAGAGTACACTGTGTAATAAACATTCTAATTTCGAACAATATCTGAAAGGCACTTTGGCTATCCATCTACTGTAAATTCAGTAAAATTTTGAAATTCAAAATCAATTACATATTTGGATAACATTTTTACATCTTTTTTTTTTTTAGTTTTTATGAGTTTATTAAATCCTTATAAAACAGAATACAGAGCCAGTTAGCCTGGAGGTCAAATCACCCCCGGTATTGCCGACAACAATCAAGGCTTAACTACAACAAGACTGCGCACAAAGACCACAAGGGGGTGCACCAAGAAAGCATAAATAATGTGGAGACAAAGAAACATAACAGAAATGGAGAATATAGAGCTAAAAAACGCACTTTTAAGGTCTTTCAATAATTTGCTAGAAACTGCCGATAAATGTAGTGAGATCCTCAAGAAATCTAATGAGACCCTCGATATTGTGATAAAGAACCAACTAGAAATTAAGCATACACTGACTGAAATAAAGAATATTATACAGACACCCAACAGCAGACCAAAGGAGTGCAAGAATCAAGTCAAAGATGTGAAATGCGAAGAAGCAAAAAACACCCAACTGGAATAGCAAAATGAAAAAAGAATCCGAAAATACGAAGATAGTGTAAGGAGCCTCTGGGACAGCTTCAAGCGTACCAACATCAGAAGTATAGGGGTGCCAGAAGATGAGAGACAGCAAGATATTGAAAACCTATTTGAAGAAATAATGACAGAAAACTTCCCCCACCTGGTGAAAGAAATAGACTTACAGGTCCAGGAAGCGCAGAGAACCCCAAACAAAAGGAATCCGAAGAGGACCACACCAAAACACATCATAATTAAAATGCCAAGAGCAAATGACAAAGAGAGAATCTTAAAAGCAGCAAGAGAAAGAAACTCAGTTACCTACAAGGGTAACTGTCAGCTGATTTCTCAACAGAAACTTTGCAGGCCAGAAGGGAATGGCAAGAAATATTCAAAGTGATGAATACCAAGAACCTACAACCAAGATTACTTTATCCAGCAAAGCTATCATTCAGAATTGAAGGTCAGATAAAGAGCTTCACAGATAAGGAAAAGCTAAAGGAGTTCATCACCACCAAACCAGTATTATATAAAATGCTGAAAGGTATCCTTTAAGAAGAGGAAGAAGAAGAAAAAGGTAAAGATACAAATTATGAACAACAAACATGCATCTATCAACAAGTGAATCTATGAATCAAGTGAATAAATAATCTGATGTACAGAATGAACTGGTGATCATAATAGAATCAGGGACATAGAAAGGGAATGGACTGACTATTCTTGGGGGGGAAAGGGGTGTGGGAGATGCCGGAAGAGACTAGACAAAAATCGTGCACCTATGGATGAGGACAGTGGGTGGGGAGTGAGGGTGGAGGGTGGAGGGTGGGGCGGGAACTGGGAGGAGGGGAGTTATGGGTGGGAAAAAAAGAGGAACAAATGTAATAATCTAAACAATAAAGATTTAATAATAAATAAATAAAAGAAGTTTGATATCTACCTAACACAATTAAATATGAAGGTAAAAGGTTACATGTTAAGTATTTTAAAGGACAAACCATAACTCATTATAGTTGTATGGATCCAGTTTGCTAATTACATTATGAAAGTACACTGGAGGTATAATTGTTGTAGATATTAGTAACATTAGCAGTATTGATTTCATTTATTTGTCTGGATAAAAAAAACAACAGAAAAAAACAAAAACAAACAAACAACAAAAAAAACAGAATACAAAATTCTGGCATTGACAGTTGGTGTCAAGAAAAACTTTTGAACTGTATCAGTTTACCTGGAACAGTGGAGTTAAAGTGCTTGGATTTCGTTCACCCACTTTATTTTTTTGAGTATTTTGGGTTGTTTTTATTGTAGTTTATTTCTAGTATTATGCCATTGTGGTCTGAGAAGATGCTTGGTATGATTTCAATCGTCTTGAATTTGGGGAGACTTTGTTTGTGACCCAATATGTGGTCTATTTTTGAAAATGTCCCATGAGCACTTGAGAAGAATGTATACTCCATGCCTTTGGGGTGAAATGTTCTGAAGATGTCAAGTCCATCTGATGTAGTGAGTCATTTAGGATTGCTGTTTCTTTGCTGATTTTTTGTCTAGAGGGTTTATCCAGTGATGTCAGTGGTGTATTAAAGTCCCCTCTATGATTGTATTGTTGTCGATCTCTCCTTTGATATCTTCCTGGAGTCTTTTTATGTATTTGGGTGCTCCTGCATTGGGTGCATATATGTTTATCAGGGTTATATCTTCTTGTATCGATCCCTTTAGTATTATGAAGTGGCCTCCCTTATCTCTTGTTATGGCCTTCACTTTAAGGTCTACTTAGTCAGATATAAGTATTGCTACCCCAGCTTTTTTTTCATTTCCATTTGCCTGAAAGATATCTTTCCCTCCCTTCATTCTCAGTCTGTGTGAGTCCCTTATTCTGAGGTTGGTCTCTTGTAGACAGCAAATATATGGGTCATGCTTTTGATCCATTCAGCCACACGATGTCTTTTGATTGGAGCATTTAGTCCATTTACGTTTAAAGTTATTATTGAGAGGTACTTGTTTGTAGCCATTTCTAATTTTAGTGCCTGTTTTCCTTCTTAACTTTTTATTTCTTCTTTTTACAGCAGTGCCTTTAACATTTCTTGCACTGCCGGCTTCGTGGTGATAAACTCCCTTAGCCTTTTTTTGTCTGTGAAGCTTCTTATTTCCCCTTCAATTTTGAATGATAGCCTTGCTGGATAGAGTATTCTTGGATTCGGTCCTTTGCTTTGCATCACTTTGTAAATTTCCGTCCATTCTTTTCTGGCCTGATGTGTTTCTATTGAGAAGTCATTTGATAATCTAATGGGAGATCCCTTGTATGTAAATTTCCGTCTCTCTGCTGCAGCCTGTAAGATTCTCTCTTTGTCCTGAACATTTGCCATGGTACTTATGATGTGTCTTGGTGTGGGCCTTTTCGGGTTCACCAGGATTGGGATTCTCTGTGCTTGTGTGACTTTTATCTTCCCCACCTCAGGGAAGTTTTCTGATATTATTTCTTCAAATAGGTTTTCTAACCCTTGTTCTTCTTTCTGTTGTTCTGGCACCCCTATTATTTGTATGTTGTTTTGTTTCATGATGTCCCATAGCTCCTTAGGCTCTCCTCCTGTCTTTCAATTTTATTCTCCAATTGCAGTTCAGTTTGGGTGTGTTTAGATTCCCTGTCTTCTAATTCACTAATTCGGTCCTCCGCTTCTCCTAGTCTAATGTTGAAACTTTCAATGGTGTTTTTTATTGCCGCTATGTCACACTTCATTTCTTCTTGGTTCTTACATAATTTATTAAATTTTTTCATCTGTTTCTTCTTGCTTCTTGCGTAAGTTTTTGATTTTTTCCTCCATCTGGTTTATGCACTCTAGAACCCTTAATCTGAATTCTTTTTCTGTCATGTTGCATGCCTCTGTTTCACTTAGCTGCTTTTCTGGCGAGCCGTCCTTTTCTTCCCTTTGGGGTTTTTTTTGTCTACCCATGTTTGATCTCACCAACATTTCTAGATGTTGAGTCGTTCACTGGCTGCTCCTTGGGTGGCATTGGCTCCTCGGGCTGCGGATGCTCCTCGGGCGGTTGGGGTAGCAGCTGCTCCTCAGTTGGCAGCAGCTCCTCTGATGGGTGCTGTTCACAACTGTGGTGGCTACTCTGGCTTCGCTTTTACATATTTAAAGTCACTTTGAGGCATAAATTCCTTGGAGTTTCATAAACTGTATATTTGGAACAAAAGTCCCTCCTCCTATAACATAAATGTAGAATTTCTATCCAATTACAATACCTGATACTGACTGAGGCTGTAGGTCCAAGTATATGATTTCCCACATTCGTCAGATTTAAAGTATCCCTCTAGAACAGTGGTTCTCAACCTTCCTAATGCCGCAACCCTTTAACGTAGTTCCTCAAATTGTGGTGACCCCAAATTTCATTGTTACAAATTGAACATAATTAAAGAATAGTGATTAATCACAAAACAATATGTAATTATATATGTGTTTTCTGATGATCTTAGGTGACCCCTGTGAAACGGTCGTTCCACCCCCAAAGGTGGGCAGGACCCACAGGTTGACAACCACTGGTCTAGAATGAATTCCAAAGTGAGGAATAAGCGTCGGATGCTGATTAAACACATTAGGACAATATTACATTTGTGTTGTTTCTCCCCAGTATGAATTCTGATGTCAGTTAATGTTTACATTATGGGTAAGCTTTAGAACTTTCTTTATATCTGCGGGAATTCGATCCAGTAATAATCATACAATGTTGTATGAGATATGAGAATATACACTTTGACATATACCTGATAATTTGTAAGACCTTATTTATCATTCTCAATGTAGCTTCAACCTCTGAAGCCTAAATCCTTAGATGAAAAATTTATATTATTGCTGTTTCTCTTTAGAATGATTCCTAAAATGTTGAGCAGGTTAGACTACATATTAAAGGCTTTCTCACGTTATCCACAGTATAAAGGCTTCCCTCCACTGTAAAATCTCTGATGTGCAGTGAATCTTGAGCTGAGTCAAGGCTCCAGCCCATTCTCTACAGCTGTAAGTTCTCTTTTTAGTATAAAGTCTCTCAGGTACAGTAAGACATGAATGCCTTTTAAAGCCTTCTCTACATTTTTCACATTCATAAGGCTTCTTGCCAGTATCAATTCTATGATGTTCTGTAAGTTCTAACAGCAGGTAAAGGACATACAACACTCCTCACATCTGTAAGTCTTCTCTCAAGTATGAACTCTGCTTTACAGTAAGGCAGGAACACTGATGAAAGGCCATGATATCCTCCACATTTTTAAGGCTTCTCTAAAGTGTGAACTCTCTGATGCTTAGTAAGGGATGCAGGGCTTCTCCCCAGTGTGAATACTCTGGTGCTTAATAAGATTTGAGGAGGTGACAAAGGCTTTGCCACATTCTCTACACGTATAAGGCTTCTCACCTGAATGAATTCTCTGATGTACAGTAAGACTTGAAGACCTGCTAAAGGCATTCCCACATTCTCTACATTTATAAGGTTTCTCTCCAGTGTGAACCTTCTGATGTACAATAAGATTTGAAGTATTGCTAAAGGCTTTGTCACATTCTCTACATTTATAAGGCTTCTCTCCAGTATGAACACGCTGATGATTAGTAAGGGATGAGAACCAGCTAAAGGCTTTGCCACATTCTCTACATTTATAAGGCTTCTCTCCAGAATGAATAAGCTGATGACGATTAAGATCTGAGGAGTAGCTAAAGCTTTTGCCACACACTTTACATTTATAAGGCTTCTCTCCAGAATGAACTCTCTGATGATAAGTAAAGCGTGAGAACCGGCCAAAGGCTTTGCCACATGCTCTACATTTATAAACCTTATCTCCAGTATGAAGTCTTTGATGTACATTAAGGGAGGAGGAATATCTAAAGGCTTTGCCACATTCTCTACATTTATAAGGCTGCTCTCCAGTATGAACTCTCTGATGGCAACTAAGGGCTGCAGACTGCCTAAAGGCTTTGCCACATTCTCTACATTTATAAGGCTTCTCTCCAGAATGAACTCTCTGATGACAAATAAGGTGTGAGGACCGGCCAAAGGCTTTGCCACATGCTCTACATTTATAAACCTTATCTCCGGTATGAAGTCTTTGATGTACATTAAGGGAGGAGGAATATCTAAAGGCTTTGCCACATTCTCTACATTTATAAGGCTTCTCTCCAGTATGAACTCTCTGATGGCAAGTAAGGGCTGCGGACTGCCTAAAGGCTTTGCCACATTCTCTACATTTGTAAGGTTTTTCTCCAGTATGAACTTTCTTATGTCGAATCATGCTTGAGGCGTGGAGGAATGCTTTGCCACATTCTCTACATTTGTAAGGTTTCTCTCCAGTATGAACTTTCTTGTGTCGAATCATGCTTGAGGCGTGGAGGAATGCTTGACCACATTCTCTACATTTATAAGGCCTATCTTCAGTATGAACACTCTGATGATTAGTAAGAACTGTATGGTTTTTAAAAGTCTTGCCACATTCTCTACATTTATAAGGGTTTTCTCCAGTGTGAATTCTCTGATGAAGAATACGGGTTGAGGGTTGGCTAAAGATTTTGTCACATTCTGAACATTTATAAGACTGTTCTTCCCTATGACTTCTATGATGTTGCATATGTCTTGAGGACTGACTAAAGACTTTTTCATTTTCCCTGAGTTTGTATAATTTTGCTTTAGTGTGAATTCTTCCTTTATGTACAATAAGAGAGGAATGACATTTAAAGGCTTTGCCACATGCTTTACATTTGTAAGGCTTCTCTCCAGTATAAATTCTCTGATTTAGAGTATAACCTGAAGGCCAATAAGATGTTTTACCAAAATCTTTACATTTATAAGGTTCGTTTCCCCTATGGATTTTTTTGCGTCTATTTAGATTGAATATTTGACTGCAGACTCTCCCACATGGATTCCATTTGTAAGCCTGCTCCCCAGTAGGAATATTCTCTTGTTCATCGTAATTTGAAGGCTGCAGAAAAGACTGGACACATTTACTTCCTTTGTGTGTCTTCTCCACAATAGGAAAAACCTGATGTATATTGTGATTGGACATTTGGTCAAAGACTTTTCCACTTTTATGATGCTCCTCTGGCAGCTCACTTGTCCAATGATTAAGATATGACTCTAGCTTAATGTTTTTCCAATGTTCAATCCATTCATAACTTCTATCTCCGTTATGTGTACTCTGGTGATTATGGGAGATAGAAAGACCTTTAGTGACAGTTATAATTTCATTAAATATGTACACTTGTTCCATAAAAACAATTTTGTGATACACATTAAACCTAGATGATTATATAACAAAAGCTTTCCTAATATACTAGACAAAAAATAAACACAAAACATTATTGTAAGAAGAAGGATGAAGCCTTGTTTGAAAGATTACCAAATTGTCCTAGCTGGTTTGACTCAGTGGATAGAGCGTTGGCCTGCAGACTGAAGGGACCTGGGTTCTATCCCCAATAGGGGGCATGCCAAAGGCAGCCGATCAATGATTCTTTCTCATGATTGATGTTTCTCTCTCTCCCTCTCTCTTTCTCTCTGAAATAATTAAAAATATTTTTTAAAATAATCATAAAAATGAATAAAATATTACCAAATTGCCCTGCCAGCATGGCTCAGTGGTTGAGCTTTGACATATGAACAAGGAGATCACAGTTCCATTCCCAGTAAGCGCACATGGCCTGGCTGCCGGATCAGTCCCCAGTGGGAGGCATGCAGGAGGCCGCCAATGAATGATTGTCTCTCATCATTGATGTTTTCCTCTCCCTCTTCCTTTCCCTTACTCTCTGAAATGAATTACATTTTTTAAATATAAAAAATCATAAAACATTGCTAAATTGAGCACATTTTAATTTTATAGGTACATGATAAATCTATATATTTTAGAAATGATTGACGAAGTTTAATTCCACCTGAATTTTAAACAACGTAAATTATTTACACTACAGACTACGCGAATTCCTAGTTTTTCCAAATTTCTTTTCCAAGAATGCATAACAGTAAAAACTTGTATTCAACCTTCATGTGCACAAACACACTGATCTGCCAATGTAACTGACTTTAAATTGGGAGGTTTCCCAAATTCATAATATACCTGACCTCTTTTTTTTTTTTAAATATATTTTATTGATTTTTTGCAGAGAGGAAGGGAGAGAGATAGAGAGTTAGAAACATCGATGAGAGAGAAACATCGATCAGCTGCCTCCTGCACATCTCCTACTGGGGATGTGCCTGCAACCCAGGTACATGCCCTTGACCGGAATCGAACCTGGGACCTTTCAGTCCGCAGGACGACGCTCTATCCACTGAGCCAAACCGGTTTCAGCAATATACCTGACCTCTTTAGGTAAAAAGAAATTTATTATGATAATTTTTCCAGATTAGTTGTTTATATTAATATCCTCTGTTGTCATCACACTCTTCTTCAAATTTCAAGGCTTTCATTAAGTGTACATTATCAAAGCGACACCTTTTATATCTTACCAGTATTATTTCACAGAATAAATCTTGTATTCTGGGCTTTGGCATAAAGGCCTGGTTATCTTTAGGTGATATAGCTGAAAAAAAAACACACGAATTTTCCGTTTTGACAATCAGTTGAGTACACTTAGAACTTACCAGCAAGTATTGACCAAATGACATTTTGGAGGACTCCAAGAGCCAGTATAGTATTGAATGAAAGCTCAAGATAGTCACAACGAGGAAAACTCACATAAAGAGGGACAAAGAGTTGCTTACATTTGCCAATGATACCTTCTCAAATCCCTTGGCACACAATGGCAATATTATGAAAACACTCCCAATTCCCAGTTACTTCACTGGAGAGAGAGATGAGGGAAGTGCATTTGTGCATCTTCTATTTGTGGTGTTCTATTAAAGAAACACATATCACTTTGATTTCTCTTGTGTAACTTTAGAAAATGAAAGGAATAGTCTGAGTGCTGCGGCTCCGAGGATAAGGGTCCCACCTATGAACCAGAGGTCACAGTTTGATTACAGGTGAGGGCACATGCCTGTGTTGCGGGCTCTTTCCCCAGTGTGGGGGAGCCAATCAATGATACTCTCTCATCATGGATATTTCTATCTCTCTCCCCATCTGCTTCCTTGAAATAAAAAGGTATTTTGAAAAAATAAAAAATATAAAAAAGAATAAAATCTTAAATAACTGCAGGCACACAACATTAAAGATAATTTGATATTAACGTATGTGGGTACACGGTTAAAAATGGCAATCTGAAGAGTTTTTGTATGCAGTTGACACTATGAGTTTAGGATACACTGATATAACCTTAAGATATTTTAAGTAGTTCTCATGGTCACAAGAAAAATAGAAAATAAAAAAAATGGCCCTAGCCGGCTTGGCTCAGTGGATAGATAGAGTGTCAGCCTGCGGACTGAAGGGTCCTGGGTCCCAGGCCAGCCAAGGGCACCTGCCTGGATTGTGGGCTCGATCCCCAGGAGGGGGCATGCAGGAGGCAGATGATCAATGATTCTCTCTCATCATTGGTGTTTCTATCTCTCTCTCCCTCTCCCTTCCTGTCTGAAATCAATAACAAATTAAGTATGTATTTACATGAATAACAGCATAATTGAAAATGAAATATTAACAATTTACTTCCCAAGAAGGTGCACAACTTGTATGCTGTGAAGCATAAAATATTGCTGGGTGCCCTTTGCAGTGTGTCTCAGTGGTTAGAGTATGGGCCCACCCACCAAATGGTTGCAGGTTCGATCCGAACCCCATTTGGGATGTGTGAGGATGCCAAACAACAATGTGTCTCTCTCACATCGATATGATATTTCTCTCTTTCTTTCAATCCCCCTCCCTCCTTCCCACTCTCTCTAAAATTCAATGGGAAAAATAACATCGGGTGAGAAGTAACAAAAGAAAACACAGCCGAAACCGGTTTGGCTCAGTGGATAGAGCATCGGCTTGCGGACTGAAAGGTCCCGGGTTTGATTCCGGTCAAGGGCATGTACCTGGGTTGCGGGCACATCCCCAGTGGGAGGTGTGCAGGAGGCAGCTGATCGATGTTTCTCTCTCATCGATGTTTCTAACTCTCTATCTCTCTCTCCCTTCCTCTCTGTAAAAAATCAATAAAATATATTTAAAAAAATATATATAAAAAAAAAAAAAAAAAAAAAAAAGAAAACACAGACACAGACAGACAGACACACACACACGAACACATGGCTGGCTGTAATTAAACACCGAATCAGTAAATTGGAAAACACACTCCATGATCGGACTGAAATGTTAACAGTATTAGCTGTCATTAGTACCCAGAGTTACCTAAACATTCAAAGCAATTCCTATCAAATTCCCAGTGACACCTGTGGTGGAAATAAAAAAAGCTCTTTCTAAAATTAATGTGAATGTCATAGGACTCCATGTAACCAAGTGAATCATGAAAAGAATGTATGAAATTAAAAGCTTCAGGCTTCTTGATTTTAAAACATACTTCAAAGCTTCTGTTATTAAAGAAATTGTAATACAGCTATAGCCAGTTTGGTTTAGTGGATAGAGCACCAACCTGTGAACTGAAGGTTCCCAGGTTCGATTATGGTCAAGGGCACATGCCAGGGTTGCCAGCTTGATCCCCAGTAGGGGACGTGTAGGAGGCAGCCTATCAATGATTCTCTCTCATCATTGATGTTTCTAACTATCTCTCCCTCTCCTTTACTCTCTGAAATCAATAAAAATGTTAGAAAATAAACGAACAAACAACAAAAAACAACAACCTGTAATACAGACATTAAGGCAGAGGGAAATAATAAAGCAAATTAGATTAAAAGGCCGACATACAAATCCTTCTGGATGGGGTCTAAAGATCTTTACCCAGGATGACTAAACCACAAGATAAGAAAAGGATATTCTCACCTTGCCCAAAAGCTCAGTTGTTTAGAGTGTGATCCTCATACCAAAACACTGCACCTTTGATTTGTGCTCAGGGCACACTAAAAAGTAATCAATGAATTCATAACTAACTGGGGAAACAAATTGTCTCCCCCGTCTCCCCCGAGTTGCTCTTCCTCTAAAATCAATAAAAATAAAGTATAAATTAGTGCTGGCTGTAATTAAATAAGAACTCAATAAATGAACTACATATGCGATGACCTTACATTGGAATGCTAACAGTATAAGCTGTCACGAGTACCCAAGATTGACAAACATTCAAAGCAGGACTTACAAGTCCAGGAAGTGCAGAGAACCCCAAACAAAAAAAATCCAAAGAGGGACCCCACTAAGACACATCATAATTAAAATGCCAAGAGCAAAAGACAAAGAGAGAATCTTAAAAGCAGCAAGAGAAAAAAAGTCAGTTACCTACAAGGGAGTACCCACACGATTGTCAGCTGATTTCTCAACAGAAACTATGCAGGCCAGAAGAGAGTGGCAAGAAATATTCAAAGTGATGAATAGCAAGAACCTACAACCAAGATTACTTTATCCAGCAAAGATATCATTCAGAATTGAAGGTCAGATAAAGAGTTTCACAAATAAGAAAAAGCTAAAGGAGTTCATCACCACCAAACCAGTATTATATGAAATGCTGAAAGGTATTCTTTAAGAGGAAGAAGAAAAAGGTAAAGATAAAAATTATGAACAACAAATACATACCTATCAACAAGTGAATCTAAAAATCAAGTGAATAAAAAATCCGATGAACAGAATAAACTGGTGAATATAATAGAATCAGGGGCATAGAAAGGGAGTGGACTGACATTCTCGGGGGGAAAAGGGGTGTGGGGGGTGTGGGAAGAGACTGGACAAAAATCGTACCTATAGATGAGGATGGGGGGCGGGGGTAAGGGAAGAGGGTGGGGTGGCAACTGGGTGGAGGGGAGTTATGGGGGAAAAAAGAGGAACAACTGTAATTTTCTGAATAAAGATTTATTTAAAAAAAGAGAAAAAAAGCAGGCACTATCCACATCCCAATGTCACTTTTCACAAAATTAGCAAACCTCATCCTAAAATTGATATGAAATGACACAGGACACCAGGGAACCAAAACAAACATGGGAGAGACAGTACGAGCTGAAAGGCATCATACACCCAGATATAAAAAAAATATTTCAAAACTGGTGTGATCCAAACGTATCATCTACACGTTAAGACACGGGTAAATAAAGGAGCACAGTAGGCCCTGGTCAGTGTGGCTCAGGATCAGAGCATCATCCTGTACACTTAAGGGTGGCAGGTTCAATTCCCCTTAAAGAGCACATACCTCAGTTGCAAATTCCCACCCCACCTGGGTGGAGGCGAATGGAGGAGGGGGCCAGTTGATGTGTCTCTCTCACATCGATGTTTCCCCTCTCTCCCTGCTTCTTGCTCCCACCTTTCTACTCTCTCTGAAAAGTAATGGAAAAAATGTCATGTGAGGATTAACAACAACTACCAAAATGAAACACTGTGGAATAAAGAGCCTGCTTACAACTACTCACCCATGAGGTAAAATAATCTTCTACTAGGGTGCCTACACCACCAAAGAAGTAAAGCATATTCTCACATATACAAATAGTGTTGAGATATTTAAATGTCTACGTGTAAAAGAATGAGTGACGTTGAACTGTAATTAAACATATACAAATATTAAACCAAAATGGATAAAAGATTCAAAAATAAAGCTAATAATAACTGAATCTATTAAAAGAAAAGTTATTGAAGAGTTTTTGTTTTTCTTTTAAATACCAGTACATTTGTATTGCTTTCAGAAAGGAAGGGAGAGGAGAGAACCAAGATGGCGGCATAGGTTAACGCCGGAGTTTGCTGCCTTGAACAACTACTTCAAAAGTGAAACTAAAAAACGGAACGGACATCACCCAGAACCACAGGAACGCTGGCTGAGTGGAAGTCCTACAACTAGGAGGAAAGAGAAACGCATATGGACACTCAGAGGAGGCGCAGTGCTGAAGTCAAATTCTGAGGTGCGGAGTGCGCGGAGCGGGCTGGCGGCGGAGGGCGTGGTTGGCGTTTTCAATCGGGAGGGAGTCGCAGACTCTGAGCTCCAGATACAGGAGAGTCTTTAGGGACCCAGACTCAAACGGGAGAAGCGGGACTGTCTGGCTTCGGTCAGAGCGAGTGCAGCTTTCTCTCCGAGGTTTGCAGCGGGTGCTGGGACTGAGAGAGGCAGAGCCCCTGGGGACAGGACTGAGAGCCGCCATAACTGCTCTCTCCGGCCCACCCTGTTGATCCTGTGCGACCTGCCCCGCCCAAGCCCTGCACAGAGTCATTTGCCGGATAGCCTCAGGCAAACGCCAGATTAGCACCTCCCTAGAGGACAGAAGTTCTCTCACTGCAGACACAGCTGATTCTCATAGCCACTTGGCCTGGAGATCAAACCCTCCATGGTATTAGCTACAACAATCAAGGTTTAACTATAAGACTGCACACAAAGACCACTAGGGGGTGCACCAAGGAAGCATAACAAAATGAGGAGACAAAGAAACAGGACAAAATTGTCAATGGAAGATATAGAGTTCAGAACCACACTTTTAAGGTCTCTCAAGAACTGTTTAGAAGCCGCCGATAAACTTAATGAGATCTATAAGAAAA